ATTAAAAATATGTTGTTTTATGAAATTTCACTGTGGACTGTAAATGGGAGTGTGGTGGTTGTTTAGTTGGGGGGTTAGTAGTTGAAAATTTTAGTACAGTTGAGATGTCATTTACAATAAGCATTACTTATGCCCTTAACTTCTTCTTGCTTTGTGTCTCTTCTTGCCCCCCATGATAGATGGCAAATTCCGGGCACTAAAGATGGAGTTTTCCCTTCCCCCATCCACTTACGCTACCATGGCGATTCGGGAAGTTTTGAAAATGGACACAAGCATAAAAAACCAGACACAACTGAACACCACCTGGTTACGCTGAATGAGCTGCAAAAATTGCTTAGATTTTAACATATAAAAAGTGTTTTCCTATTTACATATTCTGTACAAATCTTTAAAGATTGTTAGTAAGAGATTTGTATTTTTTTAAGTTTTTATTAGTTCTAGCATTTTAACTTTGGTAGTCATTTGCAAGGTGGTGCTTGTAATATACAGATGTTAGTGACTGATGCTTTTTAATGAATTAATAAGTTGCTTGAGCTGTAACATGGGTGCATCTTTTAAGAAGTGAGCTTGTAATAAGACCTGGAAGAATGTTTAGCTTTTTTTTTGGGGGGGAGGAGGAAAGCAATGAATGTTTTAATAAGTTCAGCACACCCTGAAGTTTCTTCAAACACATGAAGTTACAGCCTAGGAAAATGAGTTACAACAAAATAAAGACATCTGACATCTCTGTTGCAGGATAGAACCAGGAATGTTTGCTGGTTGAGGACTCTGGGAGCAAGGCTTTTTATGTGCTGTAAAGTTGTACAGCTGTTTTAATCAGTTGGTCTTCTAATTGAGAAAACACGTGGGTGTATTTTCCAGCTTTACTAATACCTGCATCCCAGAACAGGTACTGAGAATAAATTAGGCTTCTAGGTTAAGTTACTGATACATATCCCACCTGTCCACTGCTCGCAGGAGATCAGCTGGGCTGTTACAGAAAGGCATGGCCTTTTCAAATGTATGGCCGAATAAAACGCTTGTGCCGCTGAAATCGCGTCACCAGAAGTGACACCCCAGTTCCGTGCTGCGGCGGGTGGGAGCACCTCAGGCGGGACTGGCTGCTCCGGGACCCCGCCGAGCCCGG